ATATTACATTCAGCTTTGCTTGCCACAATTTTTTTTAAAAAAGATGTTGAAAGTCTAAAAAGAGCACAGGGAAGAACAATAAAGATCACAGGGGATTGGTGGCTAAACCATATGAAGAACATTTAGAGGAATTGGTTATGTCTAGTCTAATGAAGAGAAGGACCAGGAGTGAAATGATATCAATCTTCCAATATCAAGGGGACTGCCACACACAAAAGGTGGGTCATCCTATTCTCCAAAGCACCTTAGAGCAGGACAGGAAGCAATGGAAACTAATCCTAGAAGTAAAAATAATTTTCCTGACAGATCAATCATTGGCATGACTTGCCTCCAGAAGTTTTGGGGGGCTCCCATACTGGAGGTTTTAAAGAAAAAAATTGGACAACCATTTAGCCAAAATGTTACAGGGTTTCCTGCTTCATCAGAGAGTTGGACTAGAAGACTTCCAAGGTCCTTCCCAACCCTGTCATTCTGTTATTCACAAGTCCATGCGGGCTTCTGGTAACACTATGGAGGTCTTTTGCCTTTCAAAATCTACCTTATAATTTGTGAGTCTTCTGGTGATCTCCCAATAAAAGCATCAACTGGATGTGATCCCGCCTAGCATCCAAGAACAGAAAAGGTCAGGTGGATCTTGTCAATATTTTTAAACATTAGGTTTTTGTCATTCAAGTGATATTACCTGCCAAGGTTGCACATTCTGCGGTGAAAGTCTGCCTGTACGGTCCCATGGTCTGTGGTTGACTCTGGTTGAGTCCATTTCATGTAAGGCATGCGCCAATGCATAGACAGCATTATAGATACTATAACTGTGACCGAGCATCCTCATTTCAAAGAATGGGGCAGGAAGATCCTTTAAGGTTTCCTTTCCACTACATGGCCTAAAGGCGAGATTTATCACATTCATTTCGGAAAGGAAACAGTTGAATGCTTGTGGCCAGAATTCATAGATAAAACCATCTTTTTCTTCCGAAAAGGGATTTATAGTCTCAAGAAAGTGTTGAAAACCTTGAATTTGTTTTGAGTGAATGTTGAAAGAAAGAGCTCCATGGAAGATCTGGGGTTTAACATCAAGAATCTTTTGAAAGTGAAATAAGGTGAAATCAATTTGGGCTGTAGTAACCCATACCCTTTTCGGACTGTCCTTCTTTCCCCATGAAAATATATATTGCATGGTCTGAGTTGTTTGTATAGCAACTGTCAACCAAGTAATGGATGCAATTTCTCCATGAACGATGACAACTTTCGCTGTACTGAACATAAAATTCTTCAGGATGTCCATTCTCTCTATGATCATTGTATCGATTGCATCAAAAAAATAGATATGTTTGGTCAACCTTTCTGAGAAAGCTGGGCAGATTCCTTTCTGTAAAAGCATTTGCTCAACCGTCCGTAAGAAATACGTTCCACTCTCGTCATCTGTAGCCATAAGTCCCAACCACCGCCATTGGAAATACAGAACCAATTGAACAAGTCCTTGGTACTGAAGTAATTCACTGGGAACCATGCGGAGAAAAGGAGCAGAATGGATCAGATCGTTGGGTGCTGGTTCAAATGAGCCATATGAAATCTAAAAAAAATTTCGGAGTTGAAACAGGGATTCTAGTTTTTCCCCCCACCCACCAGGAATAATTGCTTCATTGATTGATTGAAGGACATCTTTCCTTATTCAGAAATGCTAGCATAAGCCTGTCAATTCTCAGTTATCCAGACAAAAGTATTTGAAGTTTGAATCATGGCAACTGGACGTCTTTATTGTTTAGCTCAGTGGTAATCAACCTGGTCCCTACCGCCCACTAGTGGGCATTCCAGCTTTTATGGTGGGCGGTAGGGACTTTGTCCGATACTGAAGCACTTTCCTTTTTTTAAATTTAATTGACTTTTTTAAAAAAAAAGTCATAGCATTATTTAAAAACATTTTCATT